ACCAGCTGATACGAGACCGCTGCTCTTGCTCCAAAGCTCTTGGCGCCTTTCACGCTCCGCGCTGGCCGCCGGAGAACGCGCCCGCCGCAGCGAACACAGCGCGCGAAAGCAGGAAGAAGTACTGCGCCGCAGATGTTCTTTCGCGTAGCAAGCGCTCAGACCGGCAACGCTGGCGCCCAGACTCTTCCAAACTCATGGGTGGCGACCTGCTTGCGACGCCTTGGACCAAAGCAGGACACATGCGGCCATTGGAAGGCTGCGAGAAGTGTGAGCGAGGCCAGTCGCACAGCTGGACCTACCGACCAGGCCATGTAACACCGGTGCAATGAGAAGGGGTGCCAGGCTCATGCCAATTATCCTTCAAGGCTGGACAAGTGTCAGAAACTCTTGCGCGCTCGTATCTCATCGCTTTCTACACCACCAATCGCAGCCCGACCCGTTCTGACTGCGCTGCTACCGGATGCCATGACAAGCAAATTCAGCCGGTGATGAACAACTTCAGAGATTTGGAACGTGCGCAGCCAGAAGATTGGGCTTTGCAAGCTTGGCCCCAACAGCAGTGCTTTTTCTTTTGACACAGAGACTCAGGCGGGGACAAGCTGTGTTGTGACGTGCTTGAAGGACGTGCGCTCCACGAAGTTCTTCACCATATTCGCCAAGGGCGCAACGATCCACACAGCTGGAAACCGTGCGTGGAAATCAATCAGAGGCTGGTGCATGGGGTTTGACAAGAAGAGGCAACAGGAATCAATTGCCTGACCAAACCCAAAGAATGGCCAAGAATTGGTCATGGCTGAAGACGCGCTGTCCCAACCCGTGACGAACCGTGATCGCTGCAACCAGCGTCTTGCACCCTATGCTGTCGGTCACATGTGCAGATACAATCGCAAGGATGTTTATGCAGAGCTTGGAAAGCTGCGCAGACAGACACGAGGCACCTCGGAGATACAGGAAAACATCTTCTTGGTTGTTGTTGGTTGTTTTTGTTGCTTGCTGTTGTTTTTGGGTTTGTTTGTTGGTTGTTGTTTTTGTTGTGGTTGTGTGTGTTTGTGTTATTGTTCTTCCTGTTCGTCTTGTTCTTCTTGTTGTTCTTGTTTGTCTTGTGCGTCTTGTTCTTATCGATCTTATTCTCTTTGTCGTTGTTGCCGTTGTTGCCGTTGTTGTTGTTGTTGCTGCTGCTGCTGCTGCTGCTGCTGTTGTTGTTGTTGTTGTTGTTGTTGTTGTTGTTGTTGTTGTTGTTGTTGTTGTTGTCGTGGTTACATTGTTGTTGGTGTTGTTGTGGTTACACTGTTTTTGGTGTTGTTGTTGTTGTTGTTGTTGTTGTTGTTGTTGTTGTTGTTGTTGTTGTTGTTGTTGTTGTTGTCGTGGTTGCTGTCGTTGTCGTTGTCGTTGTTGTTGGTTGTGGCTGTTTTTTTTGCTTGCTTGCTTGCCTGCCTGCCTGCCTGCCTGCCTGCCTGCCTGCCTGCCTGCCTGCCTGCCTGCCTGCCTGCCTGCCTGCCTGCCTGCTTGCTTCTGCGGTTCTGACTTTTGATGTCGTTGCCCGCCCCGCTTGCTCCTTCTTATCCTCCTCCGCCGCCGGCTCCTCTTCTCTCACTCATCTTACGCTCGCTTGCCTCACGCATGCTTACTCTCATTCACTCAACTTACACCACCCTCACTCTCACTCACTCCTCTTACACATACTTACCCTCGCTTACTTAACTCTGACTCACTCAGCTTACGCTCACTGAACTTACACCACCCCCTCTCTCTCACTCACTCCACTTACACATACTTACTCTCGCTCACTCAACTTGTGCTCACTGACTTGCACATAGGTGGTGGCGGTTTGAAATATTTTTGGTGTTGCTGTGGCTGTTGTTGGTGGTGGTGTTGTGCTTGTCTTTTTTTGTTGTTGGTGATGGTCCCTGTGCGTATCCTTTGTTATTAGCAGCGTTGTGCGAGTGTTTTTCCTAGCAGCATTTGCCCTTTTGCTGTGAAGGGAGAGGTCATCAGACCATATGCCATGTTTGGATGGGCTACGGGGATGGGGACCCTAAGGGTGTCACAGAGCTTGACAACTGCTCCAAGTCCATTGGACTTGAAGGAGTTTCTTCCTACCCCTTGGGCCCCTGACCTTGCGAGGAGTTACGGGGCGACGATCAATGCGTGTGGCAAGGCAGCGCAGTGGAGTCAGGCCATGGATCTGCTCGCAGACATGGAGAGCGGCGCTGTGCAGGGCAACGTGGACCCGAGCTCAGCCCGCGACGGCATCGCCGCACCAAGTAGCTGTCAACATCAAGTGAGAACATGCCAATTGAAAACTTGGAAGGCGGCCTTGGCCATCCTGCCAACCAGTTGTCCACTCTTTCCTTTCCCATGCTGCTGCTTGCAACCTGAAGTCGTGCTTAGCTGGTTCAACAGGGCTGCTTGTAAGGGATGCGGATGTGTATTCCAGGTCGACCAGTGAGGGCCTGCTAAGTTCGTTTCAAGTGATGAGGCTATTGCAGAGCAGTTCCTTGGGTGCTGCTACATGGTCGGCTTTGTTAGTTTGCCCTCTCGGCTTTAGGACAGCATCCACAAGGTTTTTGGGACGGATGCAAATCCCAGGAGCGGAAGTGGCATCCTGAGGAAACACCAGGCAGAAAGCAGTTACTCAAAGGTCCCTCACACAGCTACAGCACCAATATGCAGAACAACGCCTTTCGCAAGCACATGATCGAGACTATGCGAGGCAAATTTCATAAGTTTCAAGAGTGCTCCAAGAAGTTCGTTCCAGGATGCACAGGCTTCAAGCACGCAAAGCGATTATTGAACATGATCACGGTCAAAGTTACTTCCACGCGGTGCGTTTGTCGCCTAGTTTGCCGGGCCCCTATCTTTGTTCTAACTTCATTCAGGGGTTCATCGTTTTCATCGTTCTGTTGCATCGTTTGGCATGGTTTTGTGCATCCACAACGTGACTAAAACACCGCATGATGAACACACCACCAAGTTGTGTCCGTTCCTCATCAAAAGATCGAAACGCTCCAGGCATCAAGGCTTGACGCAGGCATGCGCGTCATAGGCGCACGGCCTGGCTACCCCGGAAAGCATAGATATCACGCGTCTCAACTCCCCCATGCATGGAGCGCGTTTGTCCCAGTTGAACAAACGATATGACACACGCCAACCCGCTTGGAACACAGCGAGGGCCGCCAAAGAAGGCTGGCCGGTGGAGTAGGCATGATCAAGCTAATTGATTGGTCAGTGTGGGAGGGGCAGGTAAGTTGACTGTTTTTCCCGCGGAGGTCGTATACAATGCGGCTATCAGCGCCTGTGAGAGAGGCCAGCAGTGGGAAAGCGCACTGGCCGTACTGCAAAAATTGGACACGGGCAGGGTGCAAGCAGATGTTGTAACATTAAGCGCCAGCATCAGCGCATGCAGCAAATGTGAGCAGTGGCAGAGTGCAATGCATCTCTTCTTGGAGCGGCTTGAGCAGGGCCTGCAAGCAGACGTGATCAGCTACAATGCTGCAATCACTGCCTGTGAGAAGGGGGGCCAATGGCAGCCAGCGCTTTGGCTCTTCCACAGTTTGCAGAAGGGAAATCTGCAGGCGGATGTGGTATCCTACAGCGCTCTGATCAGCTCCTGTGAGAAGAGTGACATGTGGCAGCTGGCTCTTGCCACCCTGCGGGAGTTTCAAGCCCAAAGACTTAGCGCAGATCTCATCATGCATGGGGCAGCCATCAGCGCATGTGCCAGAGGAGCAGCATGGGAATTGGCCATTGCGCTCCTGCAAGAGCTCCGCGAAAGCAAGCTGTCCGCCAACCGCATCATTTACAACGCTGCCATCAGCGCCTGTGAGAAGGGGGCCGAGTGGCAGAGCGCGCTTGCGTTGTTTCGAGAGTTGGGCAAGGCGCTGCCATGTGAGCTGCAAGATTTCAATGCTGTAATCAGTGCCTGTGAAAAGGGGTTCTTGCAATGGCAGCGGGCGCTGCTTTTGCTGGCGGAGCTTCCAGACGGTCAGCTAACCCCGAATGAGATTACTTTCAGCGCCGCCATCAGTGCCTGCGAGAAAGGTGAGGAGTGGGAGCTCGCGCTGGTTCTCCTCAGCAAGCTGAAGCGGAGCAGCTTGCAGGCGAACAGGATTACCTACAGTGCCGCCATCAGCGCATGTGAGAAGGGCCAACGCTGGCAGCTGGCTTTGTCCCTCTTCGAAGAGCTTCAGCTGGGAAATCTGCGCGCAGATGAGATTGCTTACCGTTCCGCAATGCATGCATGTGAAAGAGGTGGCCGATGGCAGCACGCGATTCTGTTGCTTTTGGAGCTACGTGACGAGGCGCTGCAGGTTGATGTGATCTCACACTCAGAGGCCATCAAGTCTTGTGAGAAGCGAGCGAAGATCAGTCACTTGGTGCTTTTGTTGCGGGAGATTCAGCTGGCCAGCTTGGATGGGCTCGGCTGCCCCTGGCAGCTGTGTCGGGACCTTTAACACGGTACAGTATGTAGCTTGAGAAACCTGGGCTAATTTTGAGTGCCACTTTGCGCTCATGGAATGCTCGGCCAAGACACACGAAGGAAAATGTCCGATTTAGGCCGCCTGCTGCCACTCACTCTACTTCACAAAGCGTGAAGGTGTATTGCACCCTGTAGGCCTGTAGGCAAAAAGACGCAACTCTGACCCAGGTGTGCCAATGCTGCAATGTGAAGTGAGCATACTGATGCACTGCTCGTGAGGGACTTGTCCCAGCTTGCATGCACAGAGTTTGGTTTCAAGCCATGATCATGCGACATGTGGTCCACTTCATCCCTGGAATTATTCCAAGGAGCTTGCACCTGCACCGCTGACAAATCATGAAACCTGTACTTTGGCATAAGCAGGTCGAGAATTCACGCCCGCCAGTTGCAGGATGGTAGGCCCCAATGGCTCATCAAGTTGAGTGTGCCGCGGGAAAAGTGGCGAACAGACCAGAGGAGATTCGGAGATTCCATAGTCACTGAGGCGGATCGTGTGCAGAAACGCCCATAAAATGGGTACAGCCTTGGCTTGGCTCAACCAGCAGTCTCACTGCGTTGCATTTGCCGGGCTCGCCATGGAAACTCCGGTGCGGCGGAGGCGCACTTGCAAGGGTCTCGGCTTCGAGTGTGAGGAGCCCGTCTCTCCCTCGCCGCGGGCGCTGAAGCGGCGGCTCTCGGATCTCGAGAGCTTCACGCCCACCAAGGTGCGGAGGCCCGGTGTCAAGGAGGCGGCTCCAGAGACTCAGTTCAGTGGCACCAATTCTTTTTCCTTTTTTTTTTTTCTTGGTTTGGTGGCCCTAGAAAGGGTCTTCCCCAAACAGGGCTCCCTTTTTTTCTCCAGGGTCACTGAACTGAGGAGAAGCTCAAGGAGGCCAAGGCCACCTCGGCGGAGGTGCTCCTGGATCAGGTCTCGGCTGCAGAGACCTATCCCTTGGTCTCCAGGGAGCGTGAGTGTGCCGTGCTCGACGGCTTCTTGCAAAGCTCATTGGCGCAAGGCAGGGTACAGGTGAGGGCAGTTGCCTGCAAGTGCTCGGGAAGAGGCAGGCAGTAGGGAGGCAGAGGCGGTTGGAAGGAGGCATTTCTTGAATGACTTAGGGCAACGATTAAACCCAGCGGCCAAGTTTTCACCCTGAAGGCAAGGGAGGTTGCCTCTACCTGAGCGGCGGTCCGGGAACAGGGAAGACATCCTCAGCCCGGGGAGCAGCAAGGGTTTGGCGTGCCGAGCACCCTGAAACACGGGTGCTTGAGATCAACTGCATGGAGAATTTGCAGCCAAGTTCCATCGCAGGACGGGGCAAGCCGATTCGGGTGCCACAAAGTGAAGGCCTTGATCGGAGAGATGTTCTTCGTGCTATGCTCTAGGGATCCAATGCCGGAGGCTTAGAGTTGGGAACCTTCATGGCCATGTTTCATGGCTGGGGGAGGAAGGGGAGGGGGAGGGAGCCCAAATAAGCCGTTGTTGAGCCCTGACGAAGGCCTTGTTTCGGGCGTAGTTGGGCTCCCTCCCCATCCCCTCCCTCCCCCCCAAGCCCCCATAAATGTCCACGAAAGACTTTAGCCCCATTCGTTTTTGGTCCAGCCTCGTGCAGGACTGCTGCTTCGGCTCATCGAGGCTGCTGACTCCGCCTCAGGCGCTTCCACCAAGCCAGCGGTCACCTCCAAAAGCCCGATGCCAAGCTTAGTGAGCGCCGCGCTCAGAGGCTCAGCCGGCAAGGCAGATGCTTTCCGCAGCCCATTTCTGCCGTGATTTGGCTTGTTAAATTGGATAACCTCAAAATGGGTTGTGCTGGCATAAATGGAGCCAAGGACTACTGCGTGTTTTTTTGTTGTTCTGGTCTGGTGGTTTAATTTTGACCCATACCCGTTTCCCATTTTCCGTTTGGGGCCCCTAACAAAAATGGCCAACCGCAACCGCCAGGCAGCCTCCGGCGCTTGGGGACTTCTGTGATCCTGGTGGTGGACGAAGTGGACCAGCTGGTCCGAAAGCCCAGCCACTGCACTGGGGAGCATTCCCTGGACCACCTGTGCAGCCTGCCCTTGCAGCAGGGCGCACCAGCCCTAGCCGTGGTGATGATCGCCAATGCCGTGGATCTTTTGATCAGGGCGTGCCGGCAGCA